CCACAAAAAAAAAAAAAAAAAAAAAAGGAACAAAATTGACTAGAATTTCCCAGTCTTCAAAAATTGGATAGTACAGGATTGACTTCCTCAGAACATCTTTCATCTTTCAAATATAATTAGACCAAATGTTATAATTTCAATCAGATATTCTAATATGTAGTATGACAAGCAGACACAAATAGAAACTGCTAAACTAGGTCATTACTTGGTTTTTTAAATGAGGAAAAGACATGTACTGCACCAAACACCCTAAAATGGAAAACTAAGAAATAGCGATCGTTATAGAATATTACTAGTGGTGCAGCTTCCTTTTTCAGTTTCGCGCCTCTTGCTATTTATTTGACTCTGAATTTCCCCTTCCCATATGTCCCTCTTCTCAACTCACTCTTTTAACGTCTTACCTGAACAAGGGAAAAGAATTGGCTCACAGAAGACTTCTCAGACATGCATAACTGACACCTGTCACTTTGCTCCTTTATAAGTCACTACCAGGCAGCAAAGGACAAGTGTTACACAACATCCAGGTCCATTCCCCATGGAGAGCCCACGGACCTGAGATGATGACCAACAGGCACTGAGGGTTACGGGGAGGCCAGAGCTGGGCCGTGGCTCTGTGTCACCAGGGAACCAAGGAGATGACAGTGTGGAAATGTGAGTCGCTCAGCATCGTAAACCAAAGCGTCAATAAGGTCTACAGCTCCACAGGCACTCTGAAAGTCATCCTGCTAAATGATCAACTTAAACAGGGAAGAGATTGCGCATGATGATGCTGGGAGAGCAAGAATGTTTCTGTAACAGTTACTCTCACTTCACAGTGAACTTCTATCCAATGTAAAAACTACCAGCTATGTCTGTTTCAAATTTAAGCACTAGTTTTAAGACAATATTAAATACCATTGTGGGGTGGGGAGGGACACTAGGAACTGAACCGAAGGCCTTTGCACTGAGCTACATTCCCAGTCCTTTTTAGAAACAAGTCTCGCTCAGTCATTAAACTGCCCAAGTCTAGGCTTGAACCTACAATCTTCCTGTCTCAGCCTCCCAGAGTGCTGGGTTAAATAGCACTTCTTCTAACTTAACATTTTTTTTTCCCCATTTAAAAGAACTATGCGCCAGGGGTTTAGCTCAGCCTGCTCCACAGCCTGCCTCACAAGCACAAGGATCCGAGTTTGATACCCAGTACCAAAAAAAAAAAAGTATGCTTTCCACAACAAACACTTATTCTTTATGTTATCTTCCAAAGTTATGACCTCAGACCTCACTGATACTTAAATGTTAACTATAAGCAGCTCCAATAAACATTTACCTGCAGGGAACAACAGAGTTATGAACAGATGAAACACATACTACGCAAGGATAAAGACAAGTTACCAGTATAAGCGGAGTCAATTTAACTTCCAGAATCTCTCTCCTCATCTCCTTCACATCGGCCTGGTGGGAAGCGGAGGTGGATCTCCGGGAACCTTTAAGCGGCCGGCCAGGGGACCGGGAGCGAGACCGAGACCTGCTGCCACGGCTCCCGCGGCTCCCACGGCGTCTGGAGGGAGAACTGGAAGTTGAGCTGCTCTTCCTCTGCTTGAAGGACGTTAAAGGCTGGAGGGAAGGACAGCAGCAAAGGGCTCATCACAAACCAAGGTGTGCAGAGCCACTCACACGGAGAGGACAGCGATGGCCCCCTGGCCGCCACTCTCAACTCTGACCCCTGTGGTGGGGGCCAGGGAGCACAGGCTGGGGAGCACTGCAGTGACAGCGACAGAGGCGGCCTTGTGCCCCTTACCCTTCCCTGAGGGTGTCTTCCCGCTTCCCAACACCGCAGCCACCCCAATCTGATGGAAAATGAGACCAGGAGACGAAGGCAATCAGCCCAGGAGGAGTCACTGCGACAGCTCCCCTGAACCCCAAGTGGGTGATGTGGCCCTGTTCCACCTGCCTGACCTGTGGCTCCCAGGACTGGGGTGGGGCCCTCTGGCGTAATACAACCCATGGGGTTTTGGGTCTCATCCTCACCCTAGAGCTAAGGACGGTTTTTACATCTTGTAAATGCCTGCAGACAAATCAAGAGTACTTCCCGGTACAAGAACTATCTGAAGCTCCAAGGCCAGCACCCATAAACAAAGATTACTCAAAGTAGGCCCTGTCTACTTCCTCCCTTGGGCCTGAAACAGCCCCCAAGCTAGGGGGCCTGCCCTACAGGTAGATGTGGCGCATGTGACGTGGTCCCCAGGACACAGGCCCAGATGTGACTGATCCATGGGAGGCACAGAACTGACAACAGCTGCACAGACCCCTGCATAGCACTTTCACAGAGGAATTTCATGTTTGTGAAATCTAGTGAGCATGTGCAGCTTTTGTTTTGTGTATCTTTTCTTCACAATTAATATGGCATATTTATGTATTTACTCATTTTTGAGACAGGGTCTCATGTGTTGCCCAGGCTGGCCAATTCATGGCCCACTGTCTCAGATTCCTAAGTGGCTGGGATTAGGCTGCAGCATCTGATACAAGAATTCCTACACCATTCTGAAAATCCAGGCCTCCCTGCACAGATTACAAGTTGGACAGGCTCAGATATAACAGATGCCACCCTCCTGAGGAAGCCTGGCTCAGGCATGGAGTAACAGAACACTGAACCCCGAGCCTGGCTCCTGCTTCCCACACCACGGCCCCAACTGCCAACCCCCCCCCATATGACACCTGGCCATGTACCTGTATCACCAGCCATCAGGGTGCAGCCCTTACCTGAGCACTGCCCTTTCATCCTCAGCACTCAGGTGTCACACTTCTGTCACCCCTTGAAGCCCAAGGTCCTTCCCTCCCCTCTGTGCCCAACACCAGCCGGACAAACTCCAAGCACAGCAGACTAAACCCAGAGAGAGGGTAGGGCCCGTGCACAGGTCTGTGTGCAGAGGAAAACACAGTGAGTCACCCTGCCTCCCACATGGTGTGGGGGGAGGCCAATAGGGTCTTACCTTGATATCATTCTCTTTTAACTCCAGTTCAGTTCCATCTTTGTATTTTACAGTATAGAGCTGGGATCTGCCATCATAGTTCAGAATTTCCACTTCATAATAGAGAGAACTCCCAGGCCATCGACCTCTTACCACTTCACCATCAGCAAATTTCCTATTTGGCATTTTCTAAAATTACTCTGAACCAGTAAAGAAAAAAATTAGCCAATATGTACAGTTATGTTTGTCTTTTCATAAACTGATCACTAAAATATAACTTTGTAGAATTATGAGATGGCCAAGAAGGCTTCCAGAGGACAGGTATACAGCTTCTCATTTCAAGATGAGATAACCAAAGTTTAAGGTTAACTGTTTTGCCCAAGGGCACAAAAACAGATTTATGAAATGGCAGAACATTTATCCAAACTCCACTGTATCTCATTTGGAATCATTTTACAGGGAATGACAGAGTCACTGAGGCGCGTGGAAGTGACATGAAGGATGAAATATGATCACACGCAACAGGCACCAAGTAGTTTGTACCTGTAAAATGCTACCCACCTACTGTAATCAAAACTCAGGGTAAATCTCACAAAGGGCACATTTTCTGATTCGTAAATCTGCACATTGTCTTTGAAAGGCTTTAAAATGCAACTAACCATATTTAAACAAATTACCTTACTGAAAACAGTAACTATAAAACAGATTGGGAAAATCAAAATGTGCAATTAACATTACTGTAACCTACCAAAAGGAAGGAAAGTAATTCTTATCTATAAGGAATAGCAATTCTGGGTTTATTTCACAAAGTTTCAACTCTTAATTTCAGCCCAAATGCACGCACACCAAGTCACTGCCAACCATCCAGCCAGGCCTGCACACACCTGGCCTTCATCAAAGTTACCCCCCTCAAAACTACCACAGACATCATTCTCTTCCCTGCATCAAAATATGGTCCACAAGCCTGTATATGGCATGATCGTAAAACGGGGAATACTGGATTTTTTCAAAAGTATTAACAGTAAAAGACACTGCCACTGATCCTTCTCAATATACTCCCACTTCGCTTCGAACGCATTTATTCCATCGTCCTTACCACTTTCTGAAGCAGTTCTAGAAGTGCTCTTTCCTGTCTTTGGTTTTGCTGTCCTGGCTGCCTGAATGTTCTGAATTGATTCAGAACATTTACCTTTCATGGTCATTTTGACTTTGAGGAAGAGCCAAAAGTTGCAATGTCAGATCTAGTGAATAAAGTGGATGAGGACACAGTGTCATATTTTTCTGAGCCTACCTTTCTGTTTGATGGGATTCAGCAGCAGCATTCATACCTCATAAAGACACTCAGGAAAGAGGATTTCCAGAATTGCTTCCAAAAGTAGCAAGAACGAGGGGATAAATCTGGGGAGTACTTTGAAGGGTATTCAATACCTTTTACTGTAATAAATTTTTTGAACGTAAATATTCACTATGTATTTTGATCATACCTTGCATACATCGTAAGAAGCCACAACCTTCAAAAACTGTCACACATGAAACCTGTCTGCCAACCTTCTGAAGCATCAGCTGACTGCCAATGCTGCAGACTCCCAGGAAGTAGCCTCTCCACCGCTAAACAGCAGACTCACTTCCACACCAAAGCTGATGCCTCAGACCGACTCTTCCAACACCATATGAAGCCGCAAGATACAGACACTAAAAGACTATTCTCTCCCAAGTCACCTGTGTCAAAAACTCAGCAATTCTCAACGGATCATGAGAGTGCACAGATATCCATTTATGACCACTTCTGTCAAGAGCTGACCACACAATAACCGCAACACTTAAAGATGACTTTAGATGAACTAGGAGAAAGATGGGTTACTACCCCTCCCAAGAAAAAAGCCTTTCCTACTTACCCATCTTCACTTAAATCACCTGAGATAACACAAGCTTGTTGTTTAGATACATGGTCCCTACGTTGACAGATTTTCATACAAGAGCTTATTTTATCCCGTGATTAGAGAATGTCAGTGGATGTGCACATCAAAGAGATGCTTTTTCCTCACAACTGAGACAGCATTACTGGGTACTGAATGAACAGCTCTGAGCTTCAGGAATGAAGGTGGGCCTGGCTGCAGTCACCTGAGGGGACCTGGGGGAGACACTGGAGACCTCTGGACAAGGAGGGGCACAAAACCAGAAGGTGACAGCAGCAAGCAGTGTCTATTTCAACACATAACTAACTCCCCGCCCCTAAGCATAAAGAGGAAGGAAATGAAATGCGCCTCTTTCCTCCTCTGGTGCCCCCTTTCCTCTTCCCTGCACCCCTCAAGCCAGATTCTTACCAGTACTCCTCACACGCCTTGGAAAGAAGTACATCTTTCACAGAGAAGCCACTGAAGTTTCAAACACTTGAGAAGCTTTTGAAACACGAGCCCTCAGGACCCTGGGGCTATATGCATTTTTAAAGGGCTCCTGGACAGATCCTTAGTGGAATCTTCCAAAAATTTCACTTGTTGGCATTTTTTCACGCATCTACTACATATCACATCACTGCCTGACACAGGGCAAGACCAAAAGCATTCTTCTACACCAATTAAATTCTGAGATAACCAAATGAGGACATTTGTTGAATCTCTAAGCCCAAGTTTTAAGAAAAGATTTACTGGGGACGGGGTGAGGCACAGCGGCGGAGCGTGCGTTTGCCCTGGGTAATAAGTCTTAGCGTTGACACCTGGAAGTGATCTCACAGGTGCTCGCCGTCTCACACCAACGCCCATGGCGACGCCGCCACGCCGAGCGCACCTACTTCGCACAGGACCGAGCCGCAGGCCGTGACAGCTCTGCACACGCGTACGCGCCACCCGGGTCCCCGACGGGGGCATGCAGCCTCCCCGCAGG